CTTCTCCCTGACCTATTGCTCCCGATCCTATTCATACGGCATAACTGCGACCGCGCGACGCAGGCACGCAGCCTGATTCCAACCAACAGAAACTAGCCAAGGACCCAAGGTTTAGCACATCAGCACATCACACCATGCATCTACTAATCTCAATTCTCATCTTGTATCATTGTTGAACATATACATCAGATTTTACTAGTTTACATGTTCTGGTTATCTGACTTGTAATGCTACGATTCTATGAAAAATTCCTATCCTGTACATGTCCTAAAAATTATAGTGACCGTGATGCAAATTATCTTGTATGAGTAATTATTTGTGATGCAAATTTTCCCTATGTCAAACTTATCCAATAGCTAATTGTCACACTGCAATTCAGCAGTTATGAAGAGAAAAGCGTTGTCAAACACTGTCCACGTTAATTCATTATTTAAGCAGGTTGCTTCTAGTTCTCCATTGAAAATGTTAATAAGGCTGATGTGCAAGTCATAAATCTGGTCCATTGACACTCATGATGTCAAATTGGGAGCCGCCACCAGACAAGCAAGTTGAAGCTCTAAGAAGTGCCTCCAAAATATTGATTTTATTTTAAGCGCCAAACGAGAGACTTACTTGGGTTAAACGTTGAAAAAATTTAACAGGTAAGTTCTCTTCCAGTGAAATTATTAATTTTTTGTCATGTTATTGGCAATTGTAAAGGTAAATTTGGACTTATACAATTGTATCAATATTTTGGAATCGTGTGGCATGTATTACAGTATGATGATTGTTATTTTTTGGTCTAGAAAAATTTTAGGAACTTGACTTGGCCCCCTATACCAAAATCCTAGCTCCGCCCCTGCTCACCGGTTGCAGCATTGTGGTTGAACCGATCATAGCTTTTGGTGTCGCCACTTCCAGCATCCCTCTCTGTCAGTCGCAGCATCGACAAGCGTGATCCAACGTCGTTGATTGTCAGTCCCAGCGTCATCGGGGTGTAGCTCCCGCACGTGGTTGTCGCAGTTGCACCATCGCTGGCGGCCGATCCCAGCATACCTCGTCGCGGTCACACGTCAGGTGGCTGCCATTTCGAGCACCAGTGGCTGCTAATTGAAGCACCAGTGGCTGACATGGTGCAAAATGATCGATATGTAAAATCCTAACAAGTAATTGCGAGGATTCATGCCGTAACGTCCACTTTACATTGTGAAAACTCCAACGTTCGAATCAAACGGTTCAAACACTTTTAGTCATCTAATGTCGATCACCAAATCAGTCTAGACCGGACAGGACGTTCGAAATCCCAGATACCCTCCTCAAAGTGGGAGGAACCTTAGTGGAGTCTGGACAGTCTGCCCTGTCCACTATCAGTTGGACCATGTCTCCCCACAACCCACGTCAGGAGGGCCTCCGCACGGTCCGACGCTTGCATGCACGATGAATGATCCTATCCACCCTCATCGTACTAAAATTATGTGGCGCGCCAGGGTCGACTACCCCCCTTCCTAAAGAAGATCGCCGGTGTAATCATGGTTGTTGTTTTTTCTTTCTTTTTTAGTGAAAAACTCCACAAAAATTATTGATAATGAAAATGTTTACGATGATAAATGACTTCTTAAAAAATGCTAAGTGGGATAACCAGGATCTATGCTAGAGCTACATAAAAAGTTCTACGTAATTAACATAACGAACCAGGTGGATGAATATGATTGGAGGTAAGGCGAAGGACCAATAATGCTACATTCATGAATGATTATGGGAAGGTTTCACGGACCCCTTCCTTTAATTCTCTCCACCCCCTGATTTTTAGGTGGGTGGGGCCAGTTGTGTAGCTAGGATTTTCCGACGCCCCGAACCAACTACAAAAGAACAGTTTAAATGAACAGTGGTAAAAATGTGAACAGTCAACAAAGAAATGCATTGCCACGCCCTAGGCCATGGCCAGGGTAGCCTGGGGCCTAGCTACGCGCTTGGGTGGCGCCCTCCCTCCTTCTTAACCCCAATCGCCATTTGCCAAGTCATAATTACACGGTAAAACCCCCGTAATCATCTGTGAATGTAGCATTACTCGGGGAAGGACGGGTCCATCCCCTAAAAATAAGGAGGGAGAGGTTTAGTTGTTAGGTAGTTTTCCTAAAGTGGTACGTAGCTCTTGGTAGACGCGGGATTTTTGGATAACTGGTGTCACAAGTGCATGATGAAACGATACCTCCGGTTACTGAAAACAAACAAGAGAAACAATCATTTTGGGTTAAATTTCAACGCACAAGTGACATGTCATGCAGGATCTGCGTGTCCGTTCTTGAATCTTTGAACGATTCCACTACTCGCTGTTGTTACATAATCTGGTCAAGATACCTACGCAAATTGGTCGAAACGTGCCAAGATGTTTGTGTAAATAATATAGCCGGCGTGATGTGACAATATGGTGCGTGCCAGATAGCACTTCTGGGGTTGGAATTACACTGACAGGTAGAAACTGTAGCTTGCTTTTGGATCTTAGCTGAAATCTTATGAAGAGTGCTACTTGGAGGGAGTATTAGACGTTTTTGTAGGCCTAAAAAAACCCTGCAAACAGGAGAGATGTGAACCTGTCAAAGAACCTCTTTTCAGTCATGTTTGATTGCTACTCCTAGTACAACGATTTGATGATTTTGATGTGCAACATGAGACTAGTCTTAAGCTTTCACTGTCATCATCATTATCATCGTCATCATGGGAGCAGTACGTGTCGATTTCAGGGTTAGGGAAAATTTTAGATCAAGATTTCAGGGAGAATTGACTGATACTGGTTGGTTTAGTGTGTATCTATCTGCACATGGGCGACGACTATAGTGTTAAACAACACGTCTGTCAATAAATATGGTGCATAGTCAAACTTTTCTAGGCCTCCTTTAGTTTGGAGGAATTTCATAGGGATTCTAGAGGATAGGATTTTTATAGAATTTTTTCCTTTAGAGCCCTTTGGTTTATAGGAATAGATTCCTATTCTTACATAGGATTGGTTCCTATCCTCCACATTTCATAGGAAAATAAAAATGAGCCTAGACTCAATGGAAAAATTCCTTTGGTGTCAATCAAATGACATCTCGTTTCCTATTCCTACTCATAGAATTTGAGGTACATGCCATCTCATTTTCTACAAAATTCTTATTCCTACGATAATCCTATCCTATGAACCAAGGACATTTTCAAGGCGGATCCGTAGACCTCCCGCAATCGCCCGTGTTATCCGGACCGCAAAAATCATCCAATACCGACTTGTATGGGTGGTCCGGACGTGATTTCTCCCGTAAACCGAAGACAAACGTGGGGAGATTTACGGAAGTCTGAACCGATCTCAAGCCCGCTTCAGACCGTCCTGGCCCACCAAAAACCCCTCCCCTCTCCCGCGCACGCTCCTACCCGGCACCAGCTGCCCGCATTCATGCCGCTGTACAGCGTGCCGCTCAACATTGAAGACGGCTCGGGGCTGATGCGACCTCTCACTGCCTCTGCCATTGAAGCGTCGCGGCGGCCAATGATGCCGCCCGCGATGCGTCTCCGGTGTCCGCGCATGTTCAATGGAGACATGTGACTGCACGGGACGGACGGATATCTACCACGCCCATTCAATGCCGCTGACCGTTCTTCTGCCACCATTAAGCAAGCTCGTCGGCTGAGAAACCCACTCTGGCGCCGCGCATTGACGCACCCGGACACCTCGCCTCACCGGAATCCGCTATATAAAGGCGCCACACCCGGCTAACTCCACACCACAACACCAGTCCCTTCACATCCTCCTCCCTTGCAATGCATCGCCCATGATCGCCAGTGGGAAAGCACTGTGAGACAGCCTGCCGCCGGAGATGAAGCACGCGGTGGATGCCCTTGCCGCCTCTTGGCATAGCCGTCGTGCCAGGCCTACCACGAGGCAGGTGGTGGTGGTGTTGTGCACCGCTTCCTTGAAGGCATTGTCTTGGAGCCGGCGGGGATGATGGGACCGACAATGGCTTGCTTCACATGGTTTGTGAGGAAAATTGCTCACCTTTGTCCGGTGTAGCGTCTGATTTGGCAACCATAATGATGGCGAGTTGTGTATGGTCACGGCAGGGCTCTGGTAGTCGAGTATGTTCGGCGTGTCCGATAGGTTTCTCTTTGTCTCAATGTGTCATCATGGAGTCGGGGCTACCTCGATGGAGCCTAGGCGGTGACGTTGATAGCTGATTGGTGGTCTTCGAGGTAGTCCTGGCCATGGGAAGCTCGGCCCGGTCCGAAAAAGCCTGACCCGGCCCAGCCCGACGCTGCTTCCGGGGCCAGGCCCGGGCCTAAGTTTTTTGTCTCGGGCTTGGCTAGGCCCGGCCCGAGGTTTGGCCAGGTATACTTCGAGGAGGTCTAGCTTGGGTCGTGCAAATCATGCATATTTCTTCCGCATGTGATCATCTTCAAAGTCAGAATTATCTCGTCGCCATTGTTGGTGGTCCGTTGTTTGGCATAGCTCCTTGTAGGTTTTGTGCGGTTGCTGTGGTAGGGGCACCGTTGATACTTGTTTGCAGTGAACTCTGAATCGCTTGCGCGGAGAGGAGTGATGATGGTGATGTTTGCATTCGACCTTCATGGTGGTCCTCTCTTCAACAATGTGGGTGGATTTTGTTTTGATGCCCAGATCGACAGGCGGTGCGCCTTCACGGCATTTGTAGCAGTTTTTATCTGATTTCACCAAATTAATTTGGCAATTCTCTTTTTTTCATGGTGCTACAAGACAAATATTTTAGCCCCAATTTAATAAAAGTCTATCACGTGTGTGCCATAGTCAAGCTCGAACTAATGCACCTCAATCATGCATCATCTGGACGGCGCATGACAGGTTTGAGTGAGATGTGGGGGCAGGACTTCCAAACATGTAGACCAAAGTTGCTTACCCTGTTGGCGTGGGGTCCTCCACCGTAGATAAAATAAATATCACCCAATCATGGTGGAAATGGATGTGAGCTCACTGGCATCAAACAATTGGAAACAATTCGGCGACCTGGTCAGTATATATGCTGCTAGGAAGCCAGGGGTCCGTCGCTCGTAGCACTCACTTATTAGCGAGGGCCGAGGGGTGTGAAGGAAGAACAACAACAGGTGAACGGCGAGCAGATACAGACACCATCTCGTTCTGCTCTTGGAGCAACATGTCGAGTCCTCAGGAAATCCAGCTCCAGGTCAGAGGTAATCCTCCTCTACTTGCGTTCCTCGAGCGTGATTATGTGTATCAGCTGTTTCGGTCAGTCCTGATGGTGCAAACAATTTGTTTTCGTGATGTTTAACTGGCTGCGTTCCCAGTTCCCACCGGTAATCTTGGGAAGGCGGTAATTCTTTGTCAAAATGGTCGTCATGATACGGTGCCCGGCGATCTCCATGCGTCTGGCATGGCCTGTTCTTGCTCTGGTCGCGGCCCTTCAACTAGCTAGCAACGCAGTTCCACAGTAAATTTACCAACTAGCAACAAGCATCCACATGTAATTTCTCCACCTTCTTCAAAATATCCGCCGCCTAAACACTTCCGCCAAGAAAAAAGCTATCGAAAAAGGAGCTACCTCATTACATCTGCAGTTCTGCACGTCGTGCATGTAGCTTTCATGTGGTAGTATTTGATTGGAGACAAGCAAATCATTGGAGAGTGGAAATAAATACAGAGCACCCATACCATACCGGTCATCTTATCTTCATGTGAGTGAATTCAGAAGTTGTTTCTTACAAGCAAATATCTAAACCAGTAGTTGGAACTTGGAATGGAAGCAAAGCAGAAACACGTAGCCCTGGCCTACAATCAGAACTCAGTTTCAGTTTCTTCTGCAAAAATGAACCGGGCTTTACTGATGCACTTTGGGAGTACTAAAGAGATCCACTCACTAAAATTACGTCACCTTTTCTGTCCACTGATTAAGGTAGTGTCCCGGAGCAAGAAGAATCGGGCCATGGCGAGAACGGCGCGGGGCCGAAGGCCGCCGAGCGACGACGGCCGGGGACACGCGGCGTCAGGTGGTGGCTGATGGTGCTGCTGGACATGCTCGTGGTGCTCTGCGGGCAGACCGTGGCCACCCTGCTGGGCCGTTACTACTACAACTCCGGCGGCAACAGCAAGTGGATGGCCACGCTCACGCAGTCCGGCGGCTCGCCCCTGCTCGCCATCCTCCTCCTCCTCACGCCGCGCGACCCCGTCGGCGAGCCCCGGCCGGCGGCGGCCAAGATGGTGCCCATCTACCTCGGGCTGGGCACCCTCATCGGCTTCGACAACCTCATGTACTCGTACGCGCTGCAGTACCTGCCGGTGTCCACCTTCGCGCTGGTGGCCGCCACGCAGCTGGCCTTCAACTCCGTCACCTCCCGCCTCATCAACGCGCAGCGCTTCACGGCGCTCATCGCCAACTCCGTGGTGGTGCTCACCTTCTCGGCCGCGCTGCTCGGCGTCGGCTCCTCCTCCGACGGCACCTCCGCCGCCGACCTGCCGCGCGGCAAGTACACGCTGGGCTTCATCCTGACGCTGTCTGCCTCCGCCGTGTTCGCGCTCATCCTGTCCCTCTTCGAGGTCACCTTCGAGAAGGCGGTCCGGGGGAGGACGCTCCGGTGGGTGCTGCGGGTGCAGATGTGCACCAACTTCGTGGCGGCGACGGTGGCGGTGTGCGGGCTGCTGGCGTCGGGGGAGTGGCGGACGATCCCGGGGGAGATGGCGGCGTTCGAGGACGGGAGGGCGAGGTACGTGGCAACGCTGGTGGGGACGGCCGTGTCGTGGCAGGCCATGTCGGTGGCGACGCTGCGGCTGATCACGAGGGTGTCGTCGCTGTTCGCCAACGTGACGGGCACCGTGTCGTTGCCGCTGGTGCCGGTGTTCGCCGTGGTGCTGTTCGGGGACCGGATGACGGGGATCAAGGCCGTCGCCATGCTCATGGCCGTCTGGGGGTTCCTCTCCTACGTCTACCAGCACTACCTCGACGGCCGGCGCGCCGCGGCCATGGGGGGTCAAGGTGGAGCGGCAGAGTGCTGCGTCTGCAAGGCGCGCGCGGGCGGCGAGGCCGCTTTGCCCGCCTGAGACGTCCCTCGTGCTCGTGTTCGTGGCCAAACAAAGCTAAAATTACAGTAGTGGTGTCCTAATAGCACTCTCTCTTTTCTTTTTTGAAAATCATTCCTACATCCTGTTTGTTGGAGACTTAGAATTCAGGCCAAGTATTTTAGAAACCATAGTATACGAAAAACAATGTATTATAACATGCAGGCACGAAATGCCACAGCAAATACCTTCTCCAAATATTACTCTAATCAACTGATCCTAGCGGAAAATGACATGAGATGGTATCAATCGTTTTTACAGGCTTTGCTCATTTGCTTGCAACTAGTATATCAGTGGCAAAAGACAAGGTGAAACACACAGCCAGTAGCAAGGCGATATGGATATGAGCAAGAGCGAAATCCAGTTGTTTACATAATAAAACACATGCTTTGATTGTCATACCAGAACTACCACATAATAGTGCAAAATTCAGTGCTTGGCGATAGCCAGCATGCATGGGTTTGACGATCAAATTCATTAGTACAGTCGCCCGCACTAGCTAGTCTTCCCCTTTCCAAAGATCAGCAAACTCGTCGGGCTCGAGGGTGTTCTCCATCTCGTGCATCTTCCTCCTCACCTTGGCCTTCACCTTCTTGGCGTACTTGCCTGCCTTCTTCCGTTTCTCCAGTGCGCGGATCTGGTGCTCCAAATCAATGAAACCGTTATTAACCCCCGGGTGTGGATCAGTACATGTCAAAGCATACATGAATATGCATACCCTGGTGAGCTGTAAATCTTTTTCCCCAGAACCACAAAAAGATACCAACCAGACGATAGCACTAATCTATTCCAGGTTTGCAGATCAATCATGATTAGTTAGTTAGGTCCAACAGAATGGAGCAGTAGTGTACAAGGAGTACTGTATCTGAGAGAAACATAATGGATGACACGCATTTGAATGTTCCATTCCAATGGTGCAAACACGATATGCATCTCATTTCATGAAAAATGTGCTCCTCATAATACCATATTTGATATCAAATCCCATTCCAGAACACAATAAAGCTAACTGTGCACCAGCGGTACCAATAAATAACATGACACTACAGATCATTCAACTTGTCGATTTTCTCAGTTCAACTTTTATTTCAAGCAAAGAAACACAAGAAACAGATAATATAACTATTCCTTGATGACCAAAGAGGTAAGACCAGATTTTCATTACAAAGATGTCTGAAATATATGTACTTAGTCCAAATCAACTGGTGAAAGCAAGCTATACCTGATTGGGAGACACATAGAATGGGTTCTCGAACAATGTGGGGCCACCAAAACTACCACCAAATATTTTTATTGGATTCAAACAGAACCTGGGGCCAACCTACACACAGCAATTTCATTAGAATATTGATTAGCAAACAAGTTATATAAACCATCAAGATATAAGCTCACACTACTTTTACCTCAACAAGTGTCATTTTATCTAGGCCTCCTTTATCAACTTTGTCAATCTCATTGTGGGGTACAGATATCTGTCAAGTATATCATTTGATAAGTTTCAGATGGTGTTAATAACTTGACAGGTTTTAAGTATTGAAACTTCATCGTAATCAAAACTCTAAAGACCAAGACATCACCTGGTAATTTCTGAACCAAATGTGGTCATCCACAATGGAGAACACAAAAACATGATCATGAAAAGGTTTTGCCTTCCTATGATCTTTTGGAGTAGCAAAAATCTGCATTTACAGCAATGGGCAATAAGTTAGCTCTGACAGTCTATCATTAAAAGAAGAGCATGTCTCCACTGGATTACTAATTTGACTATATCGAAGTATATTATCACCTCTGCTATACTAATATAGCCTGGGTTATTAAATGTGAATCCTTCCTTCAGAGGCCTATATTATTATAAACATAAAAAAGAGCAATAGTGGATGCATTACACCCACATGCTAGTCTGTAACTACTGTGTGGACAAATATGATCTTACCGTAAACATGCATCAAAAATCAAGTTTAACCTCTTTTGACACCAACTAAATAAGAATAAATTGATCTTGCAAAAACCGAAGTTTTCTTTTTTAATACAGGTCAATATCAGCTTTGTTCAAAATGCTGATAACACATGCAGCATAATGTAACAAGCCAAATCATCACGTACTTGTGTTATCATTTCCTTCAAGAGCTTCCAATGAGGTTGCTGGTCAAAATTTGAAGAAAATGTTAGCAGAGGACGTGACCCTTTCAGATGGTTGCCGGTGAGCCTCAGTTCCTCCATGGTGTGAACTGCACGTAAATGTTACAGGATGGTTGGGCATTAGTAGACGAATCATCACGATAAAAATACACACAGTACAAAATGCAGTGCATAGTAAAACAACTGAATAACTACTATTGGTGTGAGAGTATACCAGCATTGACTAGAAATTTCACTGATGGCCCTGCAGGGGACTTGACCATCCAAAGGTAAAGATCTTTCTGTTTTCTGCACTGCAATATACACGCAGAAGATGCTTCAATATAAGAATTAGCAACTCTAGGGCATATTTAAATTGTCTAATTTTAGAGCGATAGTAAAACAACGTGGAGTTGACAACTTTTAAACATTGTGAAACAGATAACAGACAGTGTGGATTACAAAGCTCAGTAAGGTTCACACCAGAACAATGATATGGATCAGAATTAACTCTGAAGTTGATTTCGCACCACAAACAACTAACCAGTTCCATGTTAAATGCAGTATGATTTAGCAACCGTTAATGTTCCTATTATGTACTTCTCCTATCAAAGTAGGCAACCTTGAGGTGGTCGAAGATAAACTATTTCCATCAAGCTAGCAAGCAGGCAGCGAGCATAGTATGTGTGTAGTACCTCGAAAAAGAGGCAGCTGGAGCAGCTCCTGAGCTCGACCAGCTCGTTGAGCGCGCTGCCCTTGCTCTGCTTGGACTCAACCTTGCTGTCCTTCTTGGCGTGCGGCAGCAGCGACACCACGTTCTGCATCAGATGCCGGTACCTACGCACAGCGCAAACCAATCCGCAAAACAATCAACACCCCCCACAAAAGCATTGGTCTAACAACCACCACCAGAGAACTCCAAGCAGAGAGGGTAACACGCTCACCTGTAAATGATGCGGCGGGAGCACGTAATGAGCACCTTCTCCTTGTTCCGGAAGAGCGGCCCAGCGTCCTTAGAAGCAGGCTCGGCGGCCGAGTCCTTGAACCCAAAGAGGGTGCGTTCCGGCCGCTCGGGGGCAGAGTCATCAGGCTTCTCTACGGCAGCAGAGGCGGGAGCATCGGAGCTGCGCTTCCTCTTCTTCGCCATGGGGTGAGACGCTGGGGCTTGAGCACTTGAGGGCAAGATCTACTTCAACATTGACACTAATTATTAGATAACAGAATCACGAGGAGCACAAATGTTGGCATCGCAAATGCGTCACATATCAATAATCCATTCACATTGCTAACGAAGCACCCATACATCTGGACTTATCACCCAACAGAGAACACTTGCGCGCAAGAGACCGTTTCTAGAAAGAAAGAAAATGCATTGCTTGGCGAAGAGGGACCCTGTACTTAATCGACACCAAGTCATTTGTTTACCCAATGGCCAGCAAGCGCCACAAAGATTGTGTGTTCTTACAAATACGTACATACGCATGCTCTGCTGAACTAATCAGTGTGCAGTGCGAAACTTGTACTGTCGCAGAACGCAGGCCATGCCGAACTGTTGCCACGGCTGGACGGGCGTGGGGCACACGGAGCACAAGAGAACGCAGGGGGAGAGGGCCCGAGCGAGTGGATTTACCTATGCCGGGGTCGAGGAAGAAGCGGCCACCGGAGGCGCGGCGCGGGGGGCAGAGCTGTGGTTCTCCGAAGGCACTCCCGGCAACAACGCTGCGGTGGTTCGTCTGGACAAGGTAGGAGGAGGAGGCGGCGGCGTGGAGGTCCAAGGAAGGAAGGAAACCCTGAGTTTCTGGGCGATGTTGATGCTGGGCTGCGGATAGTCCACTTTTCATCGTGTTGGTGGGCCGGGTGGGCTGGGCTGGGCTGGGCGTGTGTGTGGCGAGCCCATTCAGATTTGGATTGGGCTCCTCGCGGACGCGGCTTGCCTGTTCCGATCCGAAATACCCGGGTTCTGGAGTAGTAAAAAAACCGCCAATCTCCATGGTTTGGCGTCTTAAACCATGCAGAGGCGAAGGCTAGGAATCATGAGATGATGAGAACGGCCATGAATCTCAAGGATCCAAAGTAAACTCCTAGTCCTCATGTTCTCTTTTCATTCGTTCTTTTCATCCAATTGCTTACTTTTTCTTCTGATTTTTTTCAGAATTTATGTTTGCAAGTTACCATATTTTTCATGTTTGCAATTCAAAATTTATTCAAAAGTGTTTGTAGAAAATTCTCGCAAGCTTTGCTGCTACTAGATACCCAACGGACTTGAAACATGATAATGACAACCATGTTGGTGCATGCAATTCAGCAAGACTTAAAGAGTTGACAACCTAAACATGCAAGCACACTTGCTCTGTGTTTTGAAATCCGAATGCAGGAATTTCAAATATCAGAGTAGCATTGTTTTAGATAGAGGTGAGCATAAGGTAGAACGGTACAGACAGTCATAAGCTACAACTTGGTCCAACAATATGAAAAGGGCTTTCCGCGCAAAAAAAAAAAATACGAAAAGGGCTTGCTCTCATAGTTTCCCCTCTCTTGCTACAGCCAGGTTAAGAATTACTCAAAGCACACTCACAACAGTTTTGCTGCTTAACTACTACTAAGGGGGGTCTGGCAACCTCTTTTCCTTGCTAGTGCATCTTGCAGGAGCCATCACTAATTCCTGCATGACAATACAAAGGGGACCAATGAGCTCAATGATCGGTACAAGTAAGCTGCTTTGGTGATTTCAGTAGCACAGATGCACGTTTGCTTAGAAAGCGTATCGACTTTGACCCTAGTTTCTTGTTTAAAGGATAAAGGAAACTTTTGTTTAGACAAAGCAAGCTTTCATTGCTGTAACAGAAAACTGTTTCAGGAAAGAAAAGAAAAAACAAACAATGATCTGATGTTTTTGCCTACCTGCATCACACAAAAAGAAAAGAAAATCATGACAGGGCACACCAAGAACTCAGTGTGGAGTTTTTCTTTGTTGCAATGATCTGATGTTTCATGGATCACCAGGTCAGGCCTTAATCTGCCTGTCTGCATCACCGAAACATTTACCTTGAGATTTCTAAGGTGGGTGTCAACGATTCGTGTGCCATATAGGCTGATGTTCTGATGCCGCGAGAGATTCATCACAAATAAAATGATAGGCAAAAAGAAAGAATCTAGGGAAAATGAAAGGCTCTCAGATGATTAAAGATCAAGTAAATGCCACACAGGTGATTGAACACAAGCGTATGGGTATGGTTGAACTAGAAGCACAGTAATGTATGCGTTCAGCTGCCATTCAGATGCTATCATCGCCAAAATGAAAAATCAGCTACATGCATGTACCTGCGAGTCTTCCTGCGCTTGACCACTGTGAGTTCTTGCACACGATCGGCCATGTACTCAGTACACTCCGTTAGGGTGGCTTTCCGGTCCGCCCGGTAGTTCCATAGCTCATAGACGGTGCTCCTGTCGCCTAGGCAGTTGTACTCTTTCATCTCCATCAGCGCATTGATGACAGCTTTGTAGGGGCCTTCTCCCCATTCCTTCTTCAGTTCTTGCAGCTTATCATCATTGACATTCAGAACCTCCTGACAATGCAGCAGCACATGATCTTTTAATGTCGATAATTGGTCAAACACAACTGGTCAGATGCCAAGAAGCTTTCCACAACTGTCAATTGACATACCTGATGATTGCCCTCGACCGTGACCATGTTGAAGGGATTCCAGCTTACGTCAGTGATCCGCTGCTGCCACAGTGAGTACAGCTTACTAGACGCATCAGCGGCTTTTGTTGTACGGAACTTCTCAGCGCAAGCAATCTCGAACGCCTTCACATTCAGTTTGCCCATTTCCTTTATCCCGATGATCCGCCCGCCGTATTTATCGATTTCAAGGAATTGCTGGAACAATGACTTACATGTCACATCGGCTACCATATCTATGAACTATGCAATATCTATCTACATATATCTGGAGAAATATTCCATGGCTCTGAGCAAACCTTGATCAGATGTTCACGCAGGGCCACCACGTCATCATCTGTGCTTGGTGGAACAACTGAGGTTTGGCCAACAATGGGGTTGTTTACCAGCATGCTCCCAGGACGCTCTTCTGCCAGGTCAGGCTTGTGAGCATCAATTCCCAGAGGACCTTGAGAAGGCACTTCCTGGTGCCTCATTGATCTTTTCTGCCCCTGCTTCGTACCAAAACTTTTATAAGCAAGACATGGTTTATCAAGGACAAACAGTAGACAGAAAGGAACCTACCAAGTTACATAGACTGAAGATATTTTGTTTTTGCATATATGCAGACTACAACAAAAGATATATAACTCCTGAAGGTGTTAAGTTGCATGGCATGGCAATATGATGAACAGATAAAAAATGTAGAAAAAATAATGAACAGATAACACTGCGAAACCAACACATTTTACTATACGTTGGTGTGATTACCTTACTATTACTAGGCTGGACATGCTCAGAAGCAGAGCAATTCAGTAGCTCAGGTAGATTTTGCTTAGCTTCCCAGTCTTGAAGCTTCTTCTTTACAAGCTCCAGCTCCTTTTTACTGAGAGAGGTCTCCGCGCTTCCTGCTGCAAGCTCCTTGTTTACTTCCACAATCGTTTTCTTTGCCTCCTCAAGTTCATCTTTCAGTGCTGCCAAAACGTCCCCAGTTACCATGACATTTTCACATCAAAACTGATATTTGAGCACTAAATAGTCCAAGACTGAAACAGATGCACGACAATGATGAAGCTTCTCAACAATGTGTTGTGACACATGCCAATGATCACAAGAGTTATCGGGGTCCTATAAGAAACTAATTTGGAAATAGAGAACCATATGAAAGAGATTACAGACCACGATAATCCTGCTGGAGCATCTCCTTTTCTTCCATGACTTCACCAACAACAGCCTTGATTTCCATGTACTCGAGGGCAGCATCCCTATGATAGCATATCTTGGACTCAAGCTTTGAAACCAATGATCCAGCGCGGGCCATTGCCATGCCCTCAGCCATAAAGTCTGCAGGTCCAGTAGCCAACAGAGTATCACGGCATTTACACACCATGCGCACAGTTCCACAGCATATCATACAAGTTATACTTCTAGAACTCTAGTACGAGTCTTTTCTAAAAAAAAGACTTCTAGTACGAGTGTTGTTGTGGTGGTTAGCTATGGCTTTTATCTGACAGTTTGTGCCTCCATGAGTTAAAAATTCAGGTGCTTATGTAGAAAAAAGGAGTACTTAAAGTGAATTTTGAACATGAGTAAAAATCAGGGAGTAATGCTAAAGATACACTGATGAGATCCAAGAAACAGGCAGAGAAGACCTCACCTTAGCAAATGGAGCACGCCGAGATGGTAAGAACCAGCACCACTGTCCTTCAAACTGGTCTGCAAAGGGAAACGGTTAATCAGGTGAGTGAAGGGATTTGTGCAATTAGCACCCCACAAAACTGAAATCTAGTTGCCCTGTATGTAGGAGTACTACCCAGAAGAAACCCATAAAACATAGCAAGAAAACGAAAATTTCTCCAACATTCGAAACAAGAAGAAAACAAAGAGAGTCGCAAGATCTAAACCTGCTCTTTCAGACACGTCCCAAAATCAAAAGTTTAGGGTTTCGAAGAAAAAAAACACTAAATTCAGGAAAAATGCTTTCTTCCAAGCCTCCAAAAAGAATAGAACTTGCGCCGGGTGAAGTACTGCCTAATGACAAGAATGCAGTGTGTTT